AGCCATAGAGCGCAACTAGGAAAACATATGACCACTGACCCCCCACAAACACTGTCTTAGGTGACACTAAGGAAGCAGAGAAAATTTACAAATTCCACACTAAGTGGTACTGGATGGGAGGCCAATAGAGTGTAGCGTGGGGAGAATGGGATGAGTGGGCTGGTGGTGGCAGATCTCACTCTGCTAATATTCACTGAGAAGAGCCACACTCTGCGTGGAGCCTGCTGTGAGGACTGAACAAGTGAGTGCTGTGAGTGGTAGGGAAGGAAGAAAGAGGTGTGAAGTGCCTGGGATTCCAGAGGTCTTTCAGAAAGCAAGTTAGGGGATCTTCTTGAAAGGCAGGAATTAGGTCTCTTAATGTAGCAGATGAAGGAACCCAGGGAGCTGACAGCCCGCACAGAACTTCTGCGCAAGGTCACATCCTGGGGTGCCTGGGTGGCTCAGTCAGTTAAGTGTCCACCTTCGGCTGAGGTCATGATCCTGGGGTTCTGGGATCGAGCCCCATGTCCGGCTCTCTGCTCAGCGGGGAGCCTGCTTCTCCCTCTCCCTTTGCTGTTCGCACCACTCCTGTTCCGTTCTCTCTCTCTCAAATAAATAAAATCTTAAAAAAAGTCACATCCCAAGAGAGATAATTCACTGTAGCCAGAGGAGGGAGGTAAGAAAACTGGATGGGGTTCCTCTCCTTCATTCTCCTAACGGTTTCCAATACAAATAAATAGAAAGGAATTAACACAACACTTGTGCAGATACTCTATAAAAATATGAAATAGCAAAACTTACCTCGAGTTTCCTTGGAGAAAACACACAAGAAAAATGTTCCCACAAAGCAGCTGCAGATAATATACCAACATTCTAATGTGAATCAAACAAACCTAATGAAGCAAATGCAGCTAAGAAATACAAGAATTCAGGATGGTGAAAATAAAAAAACACAGGAAACAAGCAAGGGTTGGTGAGAAGGCGGAGAAAAAGGAATCCTCATGCACTGCTGGTGGGAATGCAAACTGGTGCAGCCACTGTGGAAAACAGTATGGAGGTTCCTCAAAAAATTAAAAATAGAATTACCGTATGATCCAGTAATCCCACTACTATTTTCCCAAAGAATATAGAAATGTTAATTAAAAAAATATATATGCCCTCCTAGGTTTACTGCAGCATTAACTACAATAGCCAAATTATGGCAGCAGCCTAAGTGCCCATCAATAGATGAATGGATACCACACACACACACCCCCGAATATTACTCAGCCATGAAAAAGAGTAAAATATTGCCACTTGCAACATGGATGGATCTGGGGTATAATACTAAGTGAAATAAGTCAAAGACAAATGATTTGACTTATGTGTGATTTCACTTATATGTGGAATTTAAGAAACAAAAAAAATTAAGAAAAAAAGAGACAAACCAAAAAAACTCTTAACTATAGAGAACAAACTGTTGCCAGAGGGGAGGTGGGTGGGTTGATGGGTGAAACAGGTGATGGGGATTAAGAGTAACTTATCTTGATCAGCACTTAGTAATGCATAGAACTGTTGAATCTCTATATTGTACACCTAAAACTAATTTAACACTCTATGCTAACTCTACTGGAATTAAAATTTAAAAAAAATACAAGAACTCAGGGAAGATATGTCCCTGAAATGAAACAGAAATTGGTATTAACTCAGGAAACAGAAAATGACAAAACCATTTCCTGAATGAAGACTAGGGACACCTGGGTGGTTCAGTCAGTTGAGCAGGCGACTCTTGGTTTCTGCTCAGGTCATGGTCTCAGGGTCTGAGATGGAGCCCCACATCAGGGTCCATGCTCAGTGGGGAGTCTGCTTGTGGATTCTCTCTCTCCCTCTGCCCCTCCCCTCATTCATTCGCTCTTGATCTCTAAAATAAATAATTTTTTTTTTAAAGATTTTATTTATTTGACAGAGAAAGAGAGACAGCGAGAAAGGGAACACAAGCAGGGGGAGTGGGAGAGGGAGAAGCAGGCTTCCCGCCAAGCAGGGAGCCCGATGCGGGAACTCGATCCCAGGACCCCGGCGGGAACCATGACCTGAGCTGAAGGCAGCCATTTAACCAACTGAGCCACCCACGCGCCCCTAAAAGAAATAAATAAAAGGAGCACAAGTGAGTCTGGAAACCATAGGAAGCATGTTATGGAACAGAGATTAGAAATGAGAAAAGCAAACAAAAAGATAAAAAGAACTAAGAACAAATGATAGAAACATGATAGGCAGAAGAAATTCAACAATATTCTAAGCAGGGGAATACTACAAATATTTACGACCGTAATTCAAGAAAACTTCTTAAATACCTTAGTACATGTACTTGGCCCAGGAAAGGAATGTTTCCTTTTCGTTAGGATGTTTTTCCCAATTGCCTCTTCTCACTTGCCTGATTTTCTTCCAACATTAAAGTCTTCTTACATCTTCTGCCCTCCTGTAAAATGGCTCATTCTGTAATTATCTACATAGCCCAACCTGTCAGATAGATGATCAAGTTGAGCCTTCTGACCATCAATCTAGACTGACTACCAAGTTGCTTCACAACTGTTATCCAGGACTCCCATGTTGGACCCCATTCTAGACACATTTTTTGATTTGCTCTCATTTTTATGGAGCTTATCCAGTAACTGAGAACCATTGAATTCAGGGAAGAGAATCTTTTTTTTTTTTAGATTTTATTATTATTTATTTGAGAGAGACAGAGGGAGAAACAGCATGAGAGGGAAGAAGGTCAGAGGGAGAAGCAGGCTCCCCGCTGAGCCGGGAGCCCGATGTGGGACTCGATCCCAGGACTCCGGGATCATGACCTGAGCCAAAGGCAGTTGCTTAACCAACTGAGCCATCCAGGCGCCCAGGGAAGAGAATCTTTAAAGTTGTATGTCCAAAAATGTCTTTATTCAATGCTCACCCATGGCAGTGCATGTGTGTGTATAAAATATCATTGGATATATAATTCAAACTTTTGAAGACACTACCCCATGCACCGATCCCTAGTTTCTAGTGTTACTGTTGAGTATTATTCTCAATTCTTTTTCCTCTCTGGTAAACTTTATTCTCTTTATGTCTGGTGTCCTAAAATTTCATGGTGATGTGCTTTCCCATGGATCTTTAATATTTATTGTGCTAATAATAGCTTTTTTTCAATCTTGAGACTCAAGTTAATCAAGGAAATTTTATTTTCTAATAAATTTCAACCACTGCTTTATTTTCTCTGTTCTCTTCCTGGAACTCCTATTGGTTGTATTTAAACCTCCTGAATTGATTCCTATTTATTTTCCCCCTCTACTTTTGATTTCTGTTCTAGAACATTTCCTTGTCTTTTAATATTCTCACTAAATGTACTCATATTTTAATTTCTTCTAACATTTTATTAGTATCCTGTTCTAATTTCTTACAGTATCTTCTTATATCTGATATTATAGTTCTTAGTTTGTTGGATTCTTGAGAATTGCTTTTTGTTTAGATCTTTCACAATTATCCTCAATTTCTGGTGATTTTCTTTTTAAAGATTTTATTTATTTGAGAGAGAAAGCATGAGCAGGGGGCGGGGGAAGAGGGAGAAGCAAGGTTCCCACTGAGCAGGGAGCCCGATGTGGGGCTTGATCCCAGGACCCTGGGATCATGACCTGAGCCGAAGGAAGACGCTTAACCGACTGAGCCACCCAGGTGCCCAATTTCTGGTGATCTTTAGCTGTCTTTATTTAAAAGTGAAGCACTGAACACCTGTTTGGAAGACTTGTGTACATGGGCAGGGCTTACTGATTGGCATTCTCCACTGTAAGGGGATTGGTGGCCAGCTGGCTTTTTGGTGGGGACCCTCAAATGTCAGCATCTGTCTTTTCTTTCAAAAGTTGTTTATTTTTTCCATGTAAGCATCCTCCAAATTCTAGAGCTGAACAAGGATAAGGAGCTAGGAATCCAATTTCCCTGGTATTAGTAAAATTGTACTAAATCCCTATTCCTAGCCTAGTAATCCTGAGACGGATGTCTACTTTTTCCTTTTTTAGTTGAATTACCATCAGAACTTCAGCTGTTTCCCACCTCAGAGGCCATAATATAAAATCCTATTCAAGTTAGACACATTTATATATTTTATTAAAGCTCCTAAATTAAAATGTGTTGTTTTGGGGACGCCTGGGTGGCTCAGTTGGTTAAGCGTCTGCCTTCAGCTCAGGTCATGATCTCAGGGTCCTGGGATTGAGTCCCGCATCGGGCTCCTTGCTCAGCAGGAAGCCTGCTTCTCCCTCTGCCTGCCATTCCCCCTGCTCGTGCTTTCTCTGACAAATAAAATCTTTAAAAATAAAATAAAATAAAATGTGTTGTTTTGAAGGTAGGTTCTTGCAGTTCTAAACACAACAGTCAAAACTGAAGTGACAGGAAAAAATGGAAAAACCTCCTACAAAAAAATGATTTTGTCTGTAGAACTATCTTTCATTGAAAGAGGTTTTTTGTTTGTTTTAAAGTAGTCTCTACACCCAACGTGGGACTTGCGCTCACAACCCCACGATCAAGTGTTGGATGTTTTCTACCAACTCAGCCAGCCAGGTGCCTCTAAAGGGTTTGCTTTTTAATTCCTACAAACACAGTTTACTTTCCAATTTCCAACCTCAAGAGCACCCCATAGCAAACCTAACTCTCTTTGTATATATAATCTAGTCCCTACCAACTGCGTTCTCAAATGTCAACTGAACTCTAACACACATAAAAAAGGAAGACAAGCAAGCACAGGGACAAACCAGGAAAATAAAACTACAATGTGGAACTAACTTTCAACAGGGAGATAGTTATCAACAAGGAAAATGAGATCCTGGTTTTATAATGAGTTAAATCTACAGAATGCCAATTCTTTGTGGTATTAAATAGTAATCTAATGCAAATCATGGTTTCTGGAATAAGGTTAAAAAAAAAAAAAACAAATACCCGAGTGAATATAACAATATGGTTACACCAAAAAGAAAAATCTTTCACACACAATAATCACTGCAAGAAGATCCCACAGGTTATAGAAAACATAAAGGAACTTTAATATCCAAACAGTCAGGGCAAAGAATACTGGATTAACGACCCATTAAGTGTGAATCACTTCAGGTTCTTTACAGTACCAGATGTATTTTATAGTAAAATCTGAATGCATATTGCAGAGAATGAAACTGTTTTTAAAACTTTAATTTCCTTACCTGATACTAATACCAGTATTATTTTTAGACTAAAAAATCTTTTAATGATTTTAACACTAGGAGTAAGATTTAAACAAAAGTTATCAATGTTCCTGAAACGTCAATTTGTTCAGTAGTAACTTTTTTGAGAAATACCACTTTCTTCTCAAAAAGTAGTTAATGTACACTTTAAGATTTGTGCAATAAGAAAATATACTGGCTAATAAAAAGTGTTACTTGAGAAAGTCAAAATGAAAGAAAAACTATACTTTTGCTTAAATTACTTATGCCCAAATAATTTACCCTGCAGTCCACAGATGTACAGGAAATAAAATATTTTTGAGTAAGAAAAATAATAAGGGTCCTAAAATAGAAACATAAACCAGAAGAATCTAAAAATAGCTTCCTGATATTTTACTTTTTGAGTATTTCATTTAAGCTGCTTCTGGTCGCATGTCCTGATCTGTAGACGTTAACATGGAAATAAAATTCCCAAGTATTTAAAAAATTTACTCATCTTCCATAAAGCAACTTTTAATGTATCAACACTTAAAAATACACAGTGACGTACGTAATGAAACATCAGTACAACTGCATAGAATTGAGCTCCAGAGAATTAAACACTTATGAGCTGTCTTTCCTGGGCTCTGGTTTACATGAATATTGGCTTTAGAGACCAGCTTAATTTGCTCCTACCTGGAAGAGACAAGGCCAGGAAACTTAAGATTTCACAGGCCTTTTCTGTTGCTAAATGCTAGGAGCTCTCTGAAGGTCTTAAAAACAACAAACCGTTCAAATATGTATACTGGGGGACTCTTCCCCTTTGTGAGTAAAGGAAGAAGAAAGTTTGTGACTTTCACTGAAAACAAAACAAAATCTCCCACAACTCTTCTAAGAGACTCTGAAATGTACTAGAAATTTCAAAACTAGAACAATGCCATCAAAGATTAAACCTAATGCTCGGAGCCACCCCAAAATAATAAAATTGGGAACTCCAGGAAAACAGGTACCAAAAGAATCAAAATAATGACTGCACTGAGGATTCTCCTCTTTGAAGGCTGTTTAAGGAGGTAGGATTTTAAGGTTTTTTTGTTTTGTTTTATCTTTTGGCCTCTGAACATTTAAAAAATGCTTTGCCCGGCTGGTCCTTCAGGCTAATTTTGAAGTTCACAACGAACTCCAAGCCTGATATAGGATATTATACAGTTTCACAGCTATCATTTGTACGTAATAAAATTAGGTTGATTTACTCTTTTTGAGTAAATATAACTAGAAAATGGCAAATTAATATGTTCCTTTACATACAACTTTGTGTCTCAGAATTCTTGAAAAACAAGAGCAGATGACTTTGTATTCAAAGACTACCAAAGTGTGTATTTGATATTCACATGCAAACTTAAAACCTTAGAAATCTCCTGTCAACTCTGCATGATGCCTTTAGGAAGGAAATGACATACAAAGCTTGCTAACTGTGCAAAATATTAAATTGCTAAAACATTTTACAGAATGAAACAATACACGTAAATGTAGAAGTTGACACATGAAATTAACACGGGCTCATAAGAATGTCTCACATTTCAGAGATTTTCTTTAGTAGCAAGTTTTTGTTTTTATATTTCCTGGTACACAGCAAAGTTTATCACAGAAGATAAAAATCCTTTAAACAAATCCAAGAGGGAATTCTTGAGGCACCTTCTCATATAAAACACAAATTGAATGCAATTATCAATCCATCTGAGAAAAGTTTTCAATCTAAGTGAACATCATTTTTCCATTTAAGTATATTTTACAGAAATTTAATAAGGCAAGACAAATTTGTGAAAAATGATACAAAAATGATGTAAACTAATAATTTATATTTTAAAACCCCAAAGGGAAACAGTGGAGATGGGACAGTTCAAACAATGCTTTTAAAAAAACAAAAAACAAAAAACCCTAAAACAGAATTGTGCGCAAGCTGAAGATTACAAAGAACTTCTAGACTTTGCACAGTTTTGGTTCTTCATTTTTAACATCTTTATATTACATGTTTTAAATCATATCAGGAATGCAAACTAGAACTGCACACTACTTTAGTGGAAAAAAGTTCAACATTGTGCAATTTTCTGCCTCTTAATTTTAAAAAAGTGGCAGCAATCCCTGCATTTGTATTTGAAACAAGGATCTGAGAAACTTTATCAAAAAAGGTAATGAAGGCAAAAATTGGCAGACATCCAGCATCTTGTTTCTTTTTAAAACAATGTGGATGATAAGTAATTTCATGATTAAAAAATGAATCTTTTAAATAAATACATTGTATCTGACATTTGCACTGACTGATTTGATAAATCTTTAAGTAAACAACGGCTTTACTACACTCCCTGTAGCCTCAAGCCACTGGCTTTAGATTATGGAGTCCTTTTTCACTGGGTTTCATACCCTGCCACTCGATACCCTGCAGGCTGATTAGGCAACATGCTGCCATTCTGTCCTGGAGGTGGCTGCACTCCGTAATTTGGTCCCATCCACGGTGCAGAAGACTGTGTCTGACTGGTAGAAAATGTGAAAGAAGCAGAGAGGAGGGGAAATCCACTGGTTAAAATAAAATGTAATGCCAAGAAAAAGTAACATATACATGGAAAAAATACTTTTACTTAAGCCCAAATATAAGAATAATGGTTATGCCAGGGAAAGCAAAGGCAAGTTTTTTCTCTTAAAAACAAGCATCCTCATAGTGTTTAATTTGTGCAGTTTAATTTTGTTAGTTTAATATAGCTAAAAAAAAAAAATACCCTTTACCTGTAAACATTTCTCTCCTTTGAATTCAGAAAAAAGTCATTTCTAATCTCAGAAAGGAAAACTGTGCATCTGGGTTAGACATAAATTGAACAAACCACTACCTGAAAGAAACTCGATCATTTGGCACAAGAGAGACTACCACTTATATTACTCAAAAGAAAAAACTAAAAATTAGCATATGTAAGCTCATATTTTTCAACATTACAAATATAAGGTTCTTTTATTTTTTAAAAGACTTTATTTTTAAGTAAACTGACACAGGGTGCAAACTTACAACCCCAAAATCAAAAGTCTCATGCTCTAATGGCTGAGCCAGCCAGGCATCCCACAAATACAAGATTCTTTTAAAATAAAAACTGCAAAGTATTTTTAGTTTCTTTTTCAAAAATTTAAGTGAAATTTCATAACTCAGGGTGTACAAAGACGCATCCATATAACAATGTGTGATAAACCCTACAGCACAGGAAAAAAAAGTATAATGAATAAAACAATTAGCATCAAAATAACTGCATCCAAAAATGGCTAAATGATCATTTCTCAAATAAAAAGCTTAGCAATTATTAAGCTCTCATTGTCTTACTTAAATATTAGTTGATTCATTACCAAGCATTACCAAAATTCTTTTAACACTGGTTATGCCTCAGAGCAGCACATTTCCAGACAAATTTTTTAAGAAATACACTTAAAATTATAAATTAAAAACAGCTCTAAACTAAGTCCTTCAAAGGCTAAAACTTGCTTTAGACAGAGGACCACATTACCTACTAATTACTTAAAATCTCTTCCTAAGTTCTTAACTTTTTCAAAGGCTGATAATAAAGGAGAAAAGAAAGTATGCTTACTTAAATCCCTGCTGATTCCACGCCTGGCCATACATTCCATATGCAGGTACCTGCCAACCATTAGGCATATACTGCCCAATTTGTTGTGCATTTCCATACCACTGGCCCCACTGGCCATAAGCTTGTGGATATCCAATTTGATTCTGCTATTAAGTAAAATTATAACAAGTAATTTAGTATTATTTGAAGTTATGTGTACGCATTCAGTCCTAATGTACCACAAATATATAGCCATAACACATAGGACCATCATTGCAATGAAAATAAAAGGATAAACAAGAGTTTATAAGATAAATGAGTTAAAAAAAAAAAAAAGAGTGCGGTTATACTGCTGTAACTCTTCCTCATGCTCTAAACGGCACACTCTTTGTAAGGCAGTAGGTAATGCCCCAGTAATAAATATCAAACTCAGTACAATGTTTAAGTGTTTTGTAAATTAAACTAGATAGGGAAAATAGAAAAGATTACTTATTCCTGTATTCAGTTTACCTAAGAAACCTATATAGCTTATATAGTTTAGGATTTTCTTATTCCTTTCTTGGTGCTCCATTTACAATTTGTGCACAGAAAACTTTTTTTTTTAAAGATTTTTATTTATTTATTTAACAGAGAGAGAGAGAGAGAGAGAGAGAGAGAGAGAGAGCGCGCGCGAGCGCACAAGTAGGCAGAGTGGCAGGCAGAGGGAGAGGGAGAGGGAGAAGCAGGCTCTCCGCCGAGCAGGGAGCCGAATGCGGGGCTCGATCCCAAGACCCTGGGATCATGACCTGAGCCGAAGGCAGCCGCTTAACCGACTGAGCCACCCAGGTGCCCCCCCCCCCTTTTTTTTTAAAGAGAGAGAGAGAGCGCAAGAGCATGCAAGAAAGGGGATATTAAGCAGGCTCCATGGACAGCACAGAGCTGATGTGGGTCTTGATTTCATGACCCTGATATCATGACCTGAACCGAAATCAAGAGTCAGACGCTTAACTGACTGAGCCACCCCAGGCACCCCCGCACAGAAATCTTTATGGGATCACATTTGAACCACTAAAGCTTCCTGGAAAAAACGTAAGCAGCAAAATCTAGGAAAAATGCCAAGGCTCTAAATATATTTACAGCTTTTGTTTCAACTGAGTCAAACATGCTTGTGAGTTCTCCAAATAGTATGTGAATAAATCTATCAAGTGTTAAGAAAAAAGCCTGAACACCCTGTTAGGTAAACTACCACTCTAGAACTATAACACATACATACAGAGCCCTTATATATTATCATTTTAGCTAGAAACTATTAACAAGGATTATCAATAATTTCATTTTAAAATAACCTATTATTAGCCCAGCAATTAACTCTACAAGGTCAAGAATCCTCTCACCTGTTGCACAGGATTTATCATATCAAGAGTTTCTTTGCCCCAATAGCATTTCACGACATGACCTTCAATGGTAGTTCCATTAACAGAAACGATTGCATGTGCTGCACTTTCATGGGAATTGAACCTATTCAAAAGAATATTAAGAATCACCAATATAAACTGTTTAAGGTACTTATGAATAAAACCTATTTTTAAAAATTAAGCTGAGCCTGAGGTATAAGAGGCACTTCACACAAAAGAGTAAGATGGTATATTTTCTTTGGTATATTTTCCCCAAAATCTTGTAGTTCTGAAGAAACTTCTTTTAACAGAGAATGTTTTATTGATCTTGTGGTTACAAGGAGGGAGCCATTAAAACACAGTGGCAAATACTGCTAAATGCTAGAGAAATTTCTATTTCTTTACAGCCAAGGTACATTTTTAAGAAAACTACTAAATTAAATACTCAAAATGATTTTTGGGGAAAAAGTTTTTTTAAAAAAAACCACCCATACCGAACAAATGAATATCCTTTATCTGGAAAGACTCGAATTTCCATTATTTGCCCAAATGGTGAAAAAGTCTGACGCATTAGTTGTTCTGTTAGATAAAAGACAAAAATAAACCACAGCAAGTTATATAAAATCCTACAGACATTAAGCTTTTCAGTTAAAAAATTAACCTCAAAATGCCACACGGGTAAGGCTCCCATACCTGTCAGCCCAGAAGTGACACCTCCACAGTATACAGTACAGTTGCTTGGACTAGACTGATTTACAACCTCATCATATGATAGCTGTTTGGTGTTTGCTGGGGAGGGAAAAGTTTAATACTTTAAATTCATTAAATAAAATGTTCAGAAAGAGAAAAGCAGTATCAACTACGCTAGTGTAATGGTAATTTTTACCTTGACTAAAATGCTTAACATAATACATAATACATTTGATTGAGGATTAAACCTCCCCCAAGAAGGTCTAAAAAATTACTCAATATTCTCTATTTAACAGGAGACTTGACATTAAAGACAGTATCATTTATTATTTAAAATTACAAGAATGAAAACTAAGTACATTTTGAACAGTAGTCTTGATTTGCTTCTCATCTATTTCTGCAATAAGTCTCCGGGAACAGCTCTAACATTTAAAATCTAGTGTATTTTTCTCCAAAATTCCACATTTCCTTTTCTTCTCCAATACACCTACACTCATATGTACTCTTTGGAGCTGGAGGCTTTCGGGTTGCCCAGTTAGTTCTGATTTGTCTTCCACCAAGCCACTGGCCACCCATCTGTTGAATGGCGTTTTCAGCATCCTGTTCCGCACATTAGAAATGACAAAGAAGCCACCATTAGTTGATGTTGAAAGACCATTAGCAGTAGAGAAAATTCAGTTGCTTTTCACAAATGTCTACTGAATGAAAATGCTTTATAAAATACACAATACACAATACGTTGCCTAAAATGCAATGGTGCTTTTAAATTATCTTTCTTTTATTTGGATATCAGACTTTGGGAATGTTAATTACCTGAAAAAGTTCAGAGCCCCAAAGCCCTTATGAGATAGCTATTATTCATGTAATAACTCAGACTATTATGGATGAAAATCTCACTTTACACAATCCAACAAACTTGTGACAATATTTGGTTTCTCATTCATCCAACAAGTAAACAGTGAATAGCTACAATGTTCTAGGCAGCAGATTAAGTGCTAGGGATTCACCGGTTAATGAGACAGACATGGTCTCTGCTGGCACAGAGCTGACATTCTTTTGGGGCCACAAACTTATCACAAATTGTGGTAAATGCCATAGTAAAAGGATAGGGGGACCTGGCTGGCTCAGTAGGTTAAGCATCTGCCTTTGGCTCAGGTCATGATCCCAGGGTCCTGGGATGGAGCCCTGTGTCTGCCAACCAATCCCCCTGCTTGTGCACTCTCTCTCAAATACATTAAAAAAAAAAAATTTAAAAAAACACAAAGGGGGGCGCCTGGGTGGCTCAGTTGGTTAAGTGTCTGCCTTCGGCTCAGGTCACAATCCCGGGGTTCTGGGATCGAGTCCCGCGTTGGGCTCCCTGCTCAGTAAGGAGTCTGTTTCTCCCTCTCCCTGCCACTCTGCCTACCTGTGCTCTCCCTCTGTGTCAAATGAATAAATAAAATCTTAAAAAAAAATTAAATTAATTTAAAAAACACAAAAGGATGACCTACAGAATATGGGCTTTGGGATCTACTTCAGACAGCATGATTAAGGAAGGTCTCTCTAAAATGTATCATGTATGCTGAAACTGAGAGGAACAGGAGCTAGTCAAGTCAAAACTCCAAGGAAGAAAGCCCTTGTGGAGAGAAAAGCATTTCGAAGTGTGTTCCAGTAGGAAAGAGTTTGGTATGTATCTGAAAAAAGCATGTAGGGGCACCTGGGTGGCTCAGTCAGTTAATGGTCTGCCTTCAGCTCAGGTAAAATCCCAGAGTCCCGGGATCAAGCCCTGTATCCGGGCTCCCTGCTCAGTGGGGAGCCTGCTTCTCCCTCTGCCCCTCACCCTGCTTGTGCATGTTCTCGCTCTCTCAAATAATATATAAAATCTTAAAAACAAAACAAAACAAAACAAAACAAAAAAAGGCCATGTTAAAGACAACTAGTTTCAGTGGAATCTAGTGAGCTAAAAAGGGTGCCAGAGGAAAAAACTAAGAGATTTTAAGTAAGAGATTATCATGATCTGATTTATGTTTTAACAAGGCCATTCTTAGCACTAGGAAGAGAATGGTTTAGGGAGGTGCCCCTGTACAACACATTTAAACAATTAGATCCCAGGGCGCCTGGGTGGCTCAGTCAGTCAAGTGTCTGACTTCAGCTCAGGTCATGATCTCAGGGTCCTGGGATTGAGCCCCAAGTCAGGCTCCTTGCTCAGCGGGGAGTCTGCTTCTCCCTCTCTCTCTGCCCTTCCCCTCCATCCATGCTCTCTCAAATAAATAAACAAACAACAACAAAATAAACAATTAGATCCCAAGATACCATATTACTATGTGAACGGCTAAGATATAATTGCAGTGCACTCTATGTTCTCTTACCCAAACTTGCAAGCCATGTAAACTTTTTTTTTTTTTTAAAGATTTTATTCATTTATTTGACAGAGCGAGAAACAGTGAGAGCAGGAACACAAGCAGGGGGAGTGGGAGAGGGAGAAGCAGGCTTCCTGCCGAATAGGGAGCCCAATGTGGGACTTGATCCCAGGACCCTGGGATCATGACCTGAGCCAAAGGCAGACACCTAATGACTGAGCCACCCAGGCGCCCGCCATGTAAACATTTTTAAGGCAATTTTTTTTTTTAAAGATTTTATTTATTTATTTGAGAGAGAGAGAATGAGAGAGAGAGAGAGCACATGAGAGGGGGGAGGGTCAGAGGGCGAGGCAGACTCCCTGCTGAGCAGGGAGCCCGATGCGGGACTCGATCCAGGGACTCCAGGATCATGACCTGAGCCGAAGGCAGTCGCTTAACCAACTGAGCCACCCAGGTGCCCCTAAGGCAAATTTCTTATTTGGAAAATAAATTTTGGGCAAAATGGTTGCAAGCTGTTATAGCAAATATCTGGACAGTAAGAGTTCATATGAGGAATAATCAGACAGTTCCAATGTAAGCAGACACAGGAACTAGAAAAAAAAGTGATAATATTTGGTGTTAACTGCAAACATATTTTTTAAAAAGTCAGAAGGAACTGGCACAATAACCAATGGTCATAAACTTCACCTAAAGCCATTAAGAAAGGATACAGTATCTATTTCAAATACCTTGTTTATTAAAGAAAACCTTTCTAAAATACATTTCATTACTACCAAAAACTTTTTTCTTTAAAGATTTTATTTATTTATTTGATGGGGGGTGGGGGTGAACACAAGCAGGGGGAGTAGGAGAGGGAGAAGCAGACTCCCCGCTGAGCAAGAAGCCCGATGTGGGACTCGATTCCAGGACCCCGGGATCACGACCTGAACCTAAGGCAGACGCCTAATGACTGAGCCACCCAGGCGCCCCCATACTACCAAAAACTTTTAATAGCTCATTTTCTTCAAACTTTTTTTTCCTTAAAAAATTTCTCTATGCCTAACATGGGGCTTGAACTCAAATCCTGAGCCAGTCAGGCTCTCCTAATGGCTCATTTTTTAAGGCATTCTTTTTTTTTACCCCCTAAGGTATTCTTACACACAAAGTACAGTAGTGTTTCTATAACTTATCTTTGGCAAATGACAGTCCTAACACAGAAGGAATACACTAAAATCTAAGGTTAACAAAACCTTAGTATATATTCCAAGGCATATATATATTCTCCCACGTTCACCCCTGTATTTTTGAAGTGTGGCATCCCTGACATTTAACTGTTCTGAACCTTAGTTATCACACTAAAAGAGGTAAATCATCTATTTGAACTTATAATACATTTACAAAGTTCAAACTTCAAACAGTACAATACTGTGATAAGCTTCCCACTCTGTTCCCCATTTGCCTCTCACTTCCAACTCCCAAACAGGAAACTCTACAGCAAGCTTTTGTTTATCCCTGTGAGAGGAACACACATACCCAAAAAATATACCTCCCTTTTTTACACAAATGAGCCTTTTCAGTTAATTTACCACAGAAATATTTCTATAATCAGTATTTATAGACTTCTTTTATTTTTCCGTAAGTACTGGCTATGGAAAGATTTCTATGGTATATATTTATTTTTTAAAACAACAGTACATGATTACGTTGTATGGAGGATATGCCAGAGAGTTCATCCTGCTGACATACTGAAGATGAAGCTTTTCCTTCTGTATATACCCCACTCTCACCTCTCATTTGACAAACTACTATCCTTCCTTTTCTCCGCAAAACACAGAAATCTCAAGTCCATGCAAATTGGTATTCAATAAATGATTGTTAAATAAAAGAAATGAGAAGACATTTTCAAATACATTAGTATATAACTTCTAAAAAGTCCCCACCCACTGGAGCATTTTATTGTTTTTATTTTTTTTTAAGATTATTTATTTTTTTAGTAATCTCTGTACCCAACATGGGGCTCAAACTCATGATCCTGAGGTTAAGAGTCTCATGCTCTACCGACTGAGCCAGCCAGGTGCCCTATCACTTTCTTTTTCAGGTAAAATACATGTATTTGCAGGTAATACGATTTTGTATTTTAAAAATTCACAAGAACCAATGGAAAATTACTACGAGTAAGAAAATTTAGTAAAATAGCATGTTAACTAATAATAACTATACATATTCATACATATGAAGCAAACAGAAAACATTATTACTTTTAAATTGTCATGAGAATATAAACAGGGAGATAATGAATTAAATACATAAATGAGATTTTCAGTATCTACCTTTGGCTGATAATTTAAACATCTCTACTTTCTATGTTCTGAAAACATTTTATCAGTACTTTGCATGCATCAGGTGCTAAATAAATGCTGAAGAAATGACCAAAGGGGAGAAAAAAGATATCCTCTTTGTGAAGGTGTTATCAGTGAAATGAGCAAGTGGCAGATGAAAGATAATTATTAAAACGAGTATCTTTATTTTTTTATATTTTTATTTTTAAGATTTTATTTATTTGAGAGAGAGAATGAGATAGAGAGAACATGAGAGGGGGGAGGGTCAGAGGGAGAGGCAGACTCCCTGCTGAGCAGGGAGCCCGATGCGGGACTCGATCCCAGGAACCTGAGATCATGACCTGAGCTGAAGGCAGTCGCTTAACCAACTGAGCCACCCAGGCACCCCAAAATGAGTATCTTTAGTCTTTACTCTTAAAGCACCACACATGCACTTTTTAATTGAGCTCACCCATTTGTTGAAAAAGGAGACAAAGCCATATCCTTTAGACTTTCCTGTTGCCATGTCTTTTACCACTCTGGCATCTCTGAAATCAGAAATAATCAGAAGTTTAGGTTTGCAAACTCTCCTCTGGATATCAAGTGAGAATGTCACACACAACTCATTTTTATGTTTCATCTTCATTAAAATGAACCTTTAATGCATATTCACCTTTTATTCTATAAAATTTATCATGTATTAGCAAATGAGGCATAATAAACATGCAATAACTTCTTAAATATATATGTATATATTGTACAAAAATTGCCTCCCATTTCCGAAAGTTTTTAAACTTTTAAATATTAAGCATGGTAAAAGCAGCTATTCATATGAAATTACTTAACCATTTATAGGGTTCACAGGCACATTAGATGAATGGCTTTCTTTAACCATGCAACTGATAATTTTCTATTTGACACCATATACTACCTAATCATTAAAAAAATTAAAATAGAAAACTGGAAACTAAAAGAATGAAAAGCTGTATATTTCCTAAATTAATTATTTTGTTTTCTCAGATCAATCGACACCCCCCTTTTGGACTATGGGTAAATTGAGAACTTGATGTTTTCAGAAATGCTAAATAATTGAAGAAAAACACTAGACACACACTTTAGTTTTAAACTATATAAGAAAAGATTTTATACTGAATTTTAAAATAGCAATCATATAAGATTGATTGGAAACTACAAGATATAAAAGCAAAATTTTAAAAGTCAGAAAGTAAAAAAGCACGCCAACATTTATCCACTGTGAACCGTAGCTTGTAGTTAGCCAGGGCAATTCTGTCCATTCTTCAGAGATACTCTGCAAAATAACCAGAGCCCTATTATTTGAGATTGAGTAAAAAAACCCAGCCATGATAGCTAAAACTCCATACCTCAAAAAATTGGACTCAAATTGTGCTTCACAGGCAATCTGCTTTTAAGTTAGCCAGGTATGTCACAATGCTTGTTCTCTCAGGACACATGAACAAAACAGGCACTTTCACAACAAAAACCCAAGTCAGAAAGCCATGCAATATAATTTTATATTAAAGTATACATAAGCATATTTCGATCAATTTAGGAGTGATTTATTAAGTGTTTAGGGTCAAAATGACAAAGAGGTGGTGGTGAAAAGGGAAAACTAATGCAAGTCACTTCTCAATACGAAAAAATACTTATTAAATTATCAGTATGGTACACATGCATTTAATTTGGTAGCTGATTCACTTCTATACCAAAATTTGTTAGACTACCCTAAACTCAAGGAATAGAGTATAAACTGTATAAATTAGGGTAGGAAAGTACTATATCTTTTCTACTCAATTATCTTAATAGGCCACCACTTACTGCACACCATCTATAAATTAAGTACTGTTGGAGGATCTCTACAGAGAATATCTGGCTATCAAGAGAACCTTTCAATATATATTTATCCATTTATCTCCTTTAACAAAAAAATCAGGAAATGATGCTACCAACTGAAAATCGTCCTTTTAAATTTAGAAACACTAACTCCTTGGGTAGCCTAAAACTTAGACATTATACATTACCTCCACTGAAAATTATAATCCATAAATTATAAAGGCCTTACCAAAAAATATATATATACATCTATAATCATGGTTGATCATAAGAAAAATCTAGGCTATAATTATGATACCAACATATTTAACAAAAAGAACTTACTGACCCACGATTAAAAAGTCATTATTAAAATTGGAATGTCATTTAACTTAAACTCACTGATTGTTAAACAATCTTTATCTAATCCCAAACTAAAATCCCCATGTTTTCAGAAAAGCTACTTCAATCAAAATCAAAGCATTTAATAAAATAGCTATTGAATCTGTTAAAATGTTAGAAAATTTTTTTCTTCTTTAAGTTAAGTTTCAGGATATGTTAGCCTTGAAATATATTTAAGTCTTACTTATTTCTGAAAGGATTCTCTAAGGAAGAAGCAGCAAAGATCTAGATCAGGGTTCTTTTATCCTTCTTTAATCCTTTTAGGGTCCTGTGACTACTCTGAAAATAGGATAAAACTTACAAAGATACTCCACACCAAAATGAAAACAAACACAAAATTCCGTACACAGAGATTTATAGAGCTTTTGAGAGGCCAAAGGTTAACACCTTCCTGTCTAGGTATTTGAAAGCAAGCTAACCATCATCAAAACCCTAAGACAGATTAAAAGGAACAATCAAGAAACTAGAACTTTATTTTCCTAATTGGTTCTCAAAAAGAAAAATGTTGCCCAACAAGAGAGTCCATTTATAAACCCTAATCTTTTGACTGCCTTTAAAGTTGGCCTCTATTAGGGCCATTCCTTGGTCATGGTTCATTTTCGTCCTCCTATCAATGAACTACAACTCTTCAAATAAAAACTCCCCAAATTCACCACCAATACTACCAGCATTTACTTTCCAGTCTCCTCACCTTCTCATCTCTGCTGTTGTTCTGTTCCTCAAACCAAACCAAAGCTAAAGTTTCCTTTTTACTACTCTTCTAGCTGGAACAACAATAAAAAAGCAACCAGAAACCCAAAAATTCTGTTTTCTAAATTCAACAAGTACTTCTAAGAAAATACTATAATCAACTTATTCTTATTCTATTATGGCATGCTTTTCAAAATATTAAAGTTCTTTTATGATGAACACTACCTTGAGCAAGCTACTTCCAAAGGGCCCAAACTATATGATTAATAACAAATGCAAGCAAGACAGTGCTCCACAAAATACTAAAAGGCATCATTATTAACAGTAACAACAAAAGGGTAGATACCTGGGGATTAATATTTAACAACTGCTTTTTAGGTTGAATTGTTAAGGTTTCTTTTTGTTAAAATATATTAACACAAAATGCATGGTATCATGGAAGTTCCCCAAGGGTCTAAATTCCTTAGTCACAGCAAAAGGTTACTAAAGATTATGACCAAGCTAAGCAAGACACTTACATAAGAAATATGTACAACAGCAAATTTGTCTCTTAGGAGCTAATGCTAACTGAAAAAGGATTTTAAAATAACTGAAGACCAAAGATTTATCAATGGGAAAACAATCTTTGGCTGTTAATGGCTTAAATAGTCTCTAAACAACATAATGAATTATATTGAAAGGTTAAAATTCATAACAGATTTTCAAATTACTTCTACATAAGCCTGTTTCTAATTAAAATCAGTTTAAATTTATCTTCTGTTAACTTACGATATTCTTCCAAATGGTGCAAAAGCAGCTTTTATATCTTCAGTTGTAATTTCTGGACTGAGATCACCAACAAAGACATGGAAATGATCTTATAAGGGGAAGGAAGGGGGAGTGAAAAGAAAAATAAAATTTTAGAATTTAAAATATACTAAAATCTATTCAATAAAATAATCTTAATTTATGGATTAAGTATAAGTAAAACACTATCCTATATCTATACAGATCCTATCAATTTTACACATAATGAACGAAGGTGATAATATAGGAAAGATTCTCTTAAAGACTGATATATCTAACTGGAAACTGACAGTTATATTTCTATTTACAGCCAATTAATTATACTGGTCTAAGAAAATAAATAATATTTAACAAGCTTTGCAAAAAAATTAATGATTAATTACCATTCTAATAGTGATTATTTACATTTATCCAGTTTACCACTACATTAAGGTTTTAAAATTAAAATAAAATAGTGGTACTCTTGAGTTATGTAGACTAAATTTGCCTCAGTTAAGACAACTGACTGAAGCTAGCTACATGATATACTTGGTTTAACCATATTTTGTGAAGAACAATCAAAGAAATACCTTGCATTGCAACAGTTTGATGTTAAAGTATTTGACAGTTTTCTCAAAAGCCAACAGTTTTGGTTGCCCAGACATTACACCATTCAGTTTATGTGAATCCATGTGCAAGTGAACTAAGACTGAAGGCAACAGAATGAAAACAGTAATCCCTTCACTTTATATCAGAGCCATTAAAAAAGCATTGGAGAGAAATAACGATCCCATATGTGAAGTTTTTTTTTTAAAAGACAATGTTCAAAAAAAGAAACACTTTAAAAATACAAAATAGTTGGATCAACACTTTAAAAAGGAACACATATATCAACTTTGACAAAGTATATTTGGAAAGAAAAGTTACCCCCATTTGGCAGGCCTTAAGCAACATATTGGGTTGCCATTTGGGAAACAGAGTTTCAGGAGCAACTCAAGCACAGAAGATCTGGTTTGAAGCACAGATCGTGACCTCAAGGAAGCAGGGTATCTTGCCCTTTAGTTGGTGAAAGTATTTCAAAGGCATCAGCTGCTACCAAGGGGGTCAGAGAGCTTGAAATAGCACCAAAGTAGTGGACAAGCCACATTTGGTCAACACTGGGAAGAAGGGGGAAAAATATTGCCAGAGAGACAAATAGAAATACGACCCCCTCCCTCCCACCTCCCCCCAATATCAAACAAAAAAACTTCAAGTGGTTAGTGAATACCCTTTCAAGAGATTTCATTTTATGTTTAAGAAGATACAATTACCTTGTGAACGCTGTGTGCTGACAACGGTACTACCTGATGACAAAGATTAGATTTGTTCTTAAATTTATTAACACAAACACATTCAATCATATCTTAGGATAACGATCAAAACATTACTGCAAACATGTACGATGTTTATATGCTTTACAATAAAACTACTGTGTACAATAAAAACAAATGTTCAAAGAGTATAAAATATACTTACTGCTTGTATCTTTCTTTTGACTGCTGGGGGTTGTTGCCCAATTCACTTTGACTTCCTAAAAAAATGTTTCTACATTTATACTCCATAAAAATAAAGTTCAAAGTCAGATATTACAAGATTTGCATCTATAAACACACCGGAAGGCATACGCTGGAGATGAAACATTCAAGAGGATAACAGTTCTGGTCAAAGTTTCAATACTTATCTTTTAACCTACACTTTTTTTTTAAGATTTTATTTTTTTGACACAGAAAGAGATAGCAAGAGAGGAAACACAAGCAGGGGGAGTGGGAGAGGGAGAAGCAGGCTCCCTGCCGATACAGGGCTCGATCCCAGAACCCTGGGATCATGACCTGAGCCGAAGGCAGACGCTTAATGACTGAGGCACCCAGGTGCCCCCATACATTTTTTTTTTTTTCAGAATACTGTGAAAGTTTTATTTAATCATTTTTGTTTACAACTGAAACTCTGGGAACTCAAAGTTAACATCCTTGCCTGTAAGCTTTTTACAGACACCAGAAAAAGTTTCAACCTTGTGTTCCACATTGTTCTGCTGTGCTTTATCCAAATGAACCTTGATCACCTGGCTGCCATCCAGTTTCACACGGATTCTCTTGCCCACAACTTCACTTGGGAAAACCAAGTCCTCCAGGATCGCGTCATGTACGGCTGTCAAAGTGCGGCTCCTGGGACGCTTTTGCTTATTTTTTGTACAGCTTTTTCGAGTTGGCTTAGGCAGAATTCTCCTCTGAGCGATAAAAACAACATGCTTCCCACTGAACTTCTTCTCCAATTCACGGACTAGTCGGACTTGGATTTTCTGGAAAGATTTCAGCTGAGGAACGGGAACAAAGATGATAATAGCTTTCCGACCCCCGCCAACTTCAATTTCCTTGGCAGCCGTGATATTCAGCTCCTGCAGCTGGGCTTTGAGGTTGGAGTTCATCTCCAACTCAAGGAGAGCCTGGGAGATGCCGGACTCGAACTCGTCCGGCTTCTCGCCATTGGGCTTCACGATATTCACGCTCGAACTGAACATGGCCTTCTCCTTGATGAGAGCGCCGGCCTAGGAAGAGCCCCATACGCTTTTTTTTTTTTTTAAGGTTTCTTTTTTTTTTTCTTTAGGTTAACCTACACTTTCTCAAACCTTGGCAAATCCTAATCATACTTCTCTGTTAACATTCAACTAACCTTTCTTATCTAAAGTAAAAATCATTTCTTTCTTTTTATTCTTTCCCATTAGTATCCAAAGTTCTAGAGGTTTCATCCAAGCTTGAGTAATTCAACAAATATTTTAGTATTTACCATGTGTGAGGCATCCTGAAGAATACCAACATAAACATGCCCTCTAAAAAGCTTTATTCCATCTTTTAAATATTAAATGTGACCTTCTGCTATAAAGTGATATAATGCTTCTAAAAGGTAATCAAATTGGGGGCGTCTGGGTGGCTCAGTTGGTTAAGTGTCCGACTCTTGATTTTGGCTCAGGTCATGATCTCAGGGTCGTGAGATCATGTTGGGCTCTGCACTAAGCGTGGAGCCTGCTTGGGATTCTCTCCCTCTGCCCTCCCCGCCACCCCTGCTTGTGTGCACTCTCAATAAATAAATAAATAGTAAACAAAATTGTATACAACTTAAAAATTTCAAGTCACCTTCTTTAAATATGACAGCTTACCTTACCCATTATCTTCCGCCCATTCATAGCAGCTAGTGCTGCAGCTGCATGACGATGCTCATAAAACTCCACAAAACAATATGGATCATTTCCAGCTGTCTGTTGAAGAAACACAAAAGCCAAATTTAAGTTGTATACTCCCATTATTTTAAAATTATGTAAAGTTTTATATATCTCAAATTACCAGGCCAAGGAAAATGAAGGGGTCCATCCCACAAGTAAATCTTTAGATAAGGAAGTAAAGACTTAAAAAAAATGAACTGTTTTTAAAAAAAATACTAACTTCAACAAGTTATACTATAATACTACATATAACTTAATCCTGTATTAATGATTAAGTATCCTAATTATGGATGGATGCATATAGAAACTACACACACATTCCTCATCATATAATCATTTCTTTATGCTACGGATGTTAAGTTTGCCTAGACGCTTATGCCCTCAAGTCACAGTACTGGCTTTTAATGATCTTTCCTCTCCCTTCCCTGTTAAATGTTACCTTTTACTGCTATAAATGTACACATATCCTTGCTGCTTCTAACTTGCTAAGTAGCTGAAAATACCAGCCAACTTTCTTAAACCTATTTCAGGCTCGGAAAACTGAAGAGGTTTTCTGGTAAATAAAGTTTTTAGAATAGGTTTAGAATGTGGACTTTCGGACATCAATTTTTTGCCTATAGTCTTTTAAAAATTCTCCTCTTTTCTGGTGTTCCAAGTAGTTGAGGTCTGATAAGTGCAGCTTGGACGCTTTATTGTAAATTAAAGCAGCAGAAAAAACACCCCATATTTTACACCTATCTGCAAAATACAAAATGACTTTGAGTTCATTTTTAAAAAATTTTTTAAAGATTTTATTTATTTGACAGAGAAAGACACACAGCAAGAGACGGAACACAAGCAGGGGGACTGGGAGAGGAGAGGGAGAAGCAGGCTTTGCGCAGAGCAGAGAGCCTGATGCGGGGCTCAATCCCAGGACCCTGGGATCATGACCTGAGCCGAAGACAGACGCTTAACGACTGAGCCACCCGGGCGCCCCGGGTCCATTTTTAAATTCTTTCCATAAACTCCTAAGCAGAATTGTTAAAATAGGAAACTAATTCAAAAGACTAGAATGACACTAGAATAAAGAAATTACTATTTTGTTTCAAGGACAATTAATCGTTTAACAAGGTCACTGGCAATGATTTTTAAGAATGTTAGAGGAAGGAGGCAACCACAAAATTTGTAACATCGAGACAATCATTTTATTTTAAAAACATTAAAGAGGGGCACCTAGGTGGCTTAGTTGGTTAAGCATCCTACTCAAGTCATGATCTTGGTGTCCTGGGATCAACCCATGGTGGGCTCTGCGCTCTCTCCCTCACACTCGCTCTCTAAATTAAATTTTAAAAAATCTTAAAAAAAATTGAATATAAAAATGTTTAAAAAACTGCATAATTCAAACTAATGCTACACTTAATGGTAATTCTATTACAAAGGTGAGTGTTGGCAGGCATTAATGTTACACAAAGTAACTTAGACTTCAGCATAATCAAATGAAAAAGTCTTAATTTTACTTAATTTGTACTCAGAAAAGACTGCACTTCTAAGATAAAAAGATCTAAGCATTCACACTATCAGCCTTTATACTCCAGAGAGT